TTTTGATGTAGACCGTCCTAGAACATGGAAAACTGTATGCAGTAAATGTCGTTCTTTACATACAATCTGTTGTTCATAGATGTAATTATAATTGTTGTATGTCCTAATGTTTATGTATATAATATGTATTCTTGTAATACCTATAAGTAATTATGTAATGTACGTTTTTGGTGGGACTTAATTAGGGACTCACGTCCTGTTGTCCTTAATTGTAAAGTTAATAAAAAAAAAAATTAAAAAAAAATGCCATTGCGGAATCACTTGGAGAAAAATGTAAATGTCTTATTATATCACCTTTTACTAACAGTGTGAACCCAATGCGTTCAACTCATCGGAATTAATTGAACACATCTAAAACTACACTCTGAAAACATTGGGGAAGGGACAGCTGCCCCCCTCGGCCGCGTCACTGCAGTATTCTGTGGCAGTAGGTCTTTCTAAAATTTGGGGAGATGCATACTCTGCCTTGCGAAATAAGGGATTTCATTGACTCGAAATCTCTAATACTTGTTCCATTCAATCCATTGTATTTGTTGAATATCACAATTCAGGCTTACATGAAGTATAACAGCACAAGTGCATGTTGTGTTTTGGACCTTTGGCAAACCTTTGGCAATGTTTTGGCAGTTTTTGGCATACGATTGTGTTGAAAAAATGTAAGGAAAAATGGTGCGAGTTGCTGTGGTAGGTCGAACCTATTAACCATATTTAATGTACATATTTTGATACTTAAATTCAATATTTTTTGTATAAAAACCAAATGAATGACCATTGTGCACGGTAATATTTGCCTCATTGGTATACACATTTATACAGTACAATGAAATGAATGACCGTCATTCAAAACTGAGTAATTAATTGTGATGGAAATTGCATGCATCTCAAACAGTGTGAGCAGTTGAGGGGCTTCAGGCTGTTGGCCATTTATAGACGGAGGACCCCAGATTAATCTTGGGTGCAGGGCTGCAGGCTATATCGGAGGTGGAAGTGGAATGCTGTGGTGCAGCAGTGGTATATTAACACATTGAGTTGAATTGCACCCCAATGCACCACATACAAGCTGAGGGCGAATGCCCCCAGTCCCCCCACGAAATCATATTTTACCCAACCCCCTCCCATGAAAAGTCCCTTTTTCCTAAATTATACAAACAAACAAGCGAAGAATAACAAATACATAAACGGAAAGTAAGTCTTAGGCTTCACCCTTTGTCCTTGTTTAACAAAATCGACTTAAATATACTAACACTAATGATAAATTATTGTTAATAATTTTTTTATTTTTTGTGTGTTTTTTCCTTCTTTTATTTCAAATACAAATACAGTTAGAATAAATTTTAGAACAAATTTGGATGCTCAGAATGCAGGAAATGGCATTTCTTGGCTTCAAATTTAAAAACTTTTCTGGGGGAGTATGCCCCCAGACCCCCTATTCATGTGTGGTGTGTTGGCCGCACACATGGCCCACGCCATTGTTCCTTAAAAAAGGGCGTGTAGCAATGTGCCCTACTTTATTATTTCACTCTGTCTACAGTGTGAAGGGAGAGCCCTGGTTAAAATTGAGAAGATTATATGCCAATTAAGATGATGTACATATCCAAGATAGGTAAAAAATCGAATCGGTTAATCCTAGTTGGACCAGATCCTAGTTGGACCGAACCTAACCCAAACTCTAATCCTGAGGCAGGTACTGGTATAGAAGTTGCACCAGATTGCTAAAGTTATGGTTAGGATCTCGTCTGGATCTAGTCTGACTGGTGATACGGTCCGACTTTTATGCCTGCCCGTATCCAGTTGCCCTTACAGTAATTTCCTTTTTTTCATTACTCATTAATTATTCCTGAATCTGATATATATGGGTTATGTGAGTGATGTATATTATTTAGTAATACCCAGATTGCAACCTGGTACTGAGTCTGCTTTAGAATAATTCAAAGCAGCAAAGTGCAAATCTGCCAGCAGAGCATAAAACATCAACCATTGAAAAACATCCTATTCGCCTACTAGAAGTCAGATGACCTGAAAAATTGGAGTTTTTAATATAAGGAGTCTTAATAGTCTCCAAAGTAGGGAGATAACTGGAGTACAACATGATGAAAGCTGTGTTCAAGGACACGCGAAGCTACAGGAGCACAATGACAAACCTATTTTTGTAAATAGAAAGAAAACCATGCCCGCCCACATCACAGAGAACATGTACCAGTCACCTTAAATGAGAGAAACCTTGAGACTCGCGTCGACCAACATGAAATGCAGGTCCTGAAAGTAATATAAAGCTGTCTTTTGAATGCAGCAAATAAAGAATATACCAGTGAAGATGAGCTTGCAAACAAGCTGGCTGATGATCATTCGGAAGTAAACGACCTGCAGAATGAGCTTGAAGAAATTATTCTTCTCAGGATAGTTACCAAGGTTTTATCTGTTGTGACGTCTTTATCAAGAAACAAAGTTCAAGTGAAATGTTTTTATAACCTAATAAACTGTTAATAGCTGCAGGTTATCCAATCTCCATATAGTAATGTTAACAAACGTTGCTGCCCATAAAAGTCTTAGGAGTAAGTGGCCTTTTTAATTGACTGCCTCCTGCCGCAACACGTTGTTTCTGGTGCCCCTGGTAACCTTTTCTTTTTCAAATAAATCCCGTCTCTATTAACGCCCCTCCCAAGTGGCGCAGGCAAGGGGGAGGGCTCTGCCCCCAATGATCTCCAGCACTGTTTTTGAGAAAAGTTTAAAATCTGGCCGTAAAAGTGCCAAATCCACCCTAGGATTTTCGCGCCATTGGCGTTCGCGTTTGGAATCTATGTTTGTTTTGTCGTCCCAGAATCACCCCCTGGCTTCGCCACTGCTCCAACCTTTCACCACAAAAATTACATGTATTAAGTTCATGTATATATGCTAAGGTGATACCAGTAAATATACATGAACTTGTGGTAAGAGCTCTACAACTGGACTCCATAGCTCAGTTGGTTAGAGCTCGACAACTGGACTCGTAGGGCGACAGGTTTGATTCCTACAGAGGGCTTACAGTTGCATTTTTCGCAATTGTTCCCGTTTTAGGTCTAAAAATGGTATATAATTTACACTCGAAATCACTGAGATGTCCAAACTCCTGATATTTTTTCGTCTATGTTGTTTTTAGGTTACAGGTGGTAACAGAGGTCTGGGTTTTGCTATTGTGAAGAAACTATGTGAAACATTTCAAGGTGTTGTTATATTGACAGGTAAATGTTAACAATGTAGATATAGGTGGACATATGAAAAAAATATGTAAAAACAATTTGACAGAAATTTCAAGAGTACTTGCTGAAAACTTTTTTTAATGATCGTAAGATAACGATCAATCTACCTTTGGATGTATACAACTTTTTACCAATTAAAAGCCTTTGAGTTGCATGCACTGAGTTGTTAAATTACACCAAATGGTATATTCAATAGTATTGTTTCAGACATTAACAAAATCCGCTACAGGGTGTATAAAAAAACCCAAACTGAACAGATTTGAAATTGCTCTCAATTTCGCAAAACAGCTATTAGTATCCAGTTTATTTATATAATTATATAGCTTCTTTGGGTATTTATGTAGAATAACGAAAAAAAATGTCTCGAACTTAAATTTTGTAAACCAAGGGATGTGTCTTTTTCGACAAACTAAAAATGGCTTGCGCACGAGATTTAAAAGCTTTAATCGTACTTTAAGTTACTGGGTGAAAAATGTGTGGGGTGTTTAATTGCTGCACGAAATTTCAGACAATTTGCTTCAGTTTAAGCCCTTTAACTATTCTGCTTAGATAGCATTTTGTCGTTCTCCGTTCTGTGTGATGTCATAACATGGTAAGAACAAAAAAGAGCTTCAAGATCCTTTGGGGCATGTCACAGATGGTTTTACTACGTTATGCCGTCCTCTGTTGGCAAAATGTACTTGTTTTATATAATTTTTTATAAGAATTTGAAAAACTACTGCAAAAACGCACTCTTTTCTGTAACAGCTGCCTTTAGTTAGTAATTCCTCAGATTAAAAGCAGTGGCAAGGATAGAAGTATTGTGCAAATTTGCTAGAATTAAGTTGCACTATTTTCACTAGAATATTTAAATATTTTAGCTCGTGATGACGAGAAAGGTTTAGCTGCATGTGAAGTTCTAAAGAAAGATGGCTTCCAACCAGATTTCTATCAAGTCGATGTTACTAATGAAAATACAGTGGAAGGTTTAAAGAATTACATCAAGTCTCAATACGGTGGCGTGGATGTTTTAATCAATAATGCTGGAATTTACTGTGTGCGTATTTTATCATATTCTAACAGCTGCATGGATAGAAAAACATTATTTACCCACGCTAACCCTGTCAACCGAGGCTGATTTCCACAGGGGGCGTGTTTTGGACGTTGAATTTCCGCCCGAATTTAATGCTGCTCAGTTTTAAATAGTTTTATTCTACGCAGCATATTAATTATGAGGTGTGATATCCGCCAAAATTCATATATTCAATTATACCATTGGAAATTGCATTTATGAAGTTCAGTTATGCTATTATGATATTCGATATTATGATATTCGAATTTCATTCGGGCTGAAACAGTCATTATTGAAATTTCATTCGGCGTGAAACAGTCATTATTGAAATAGTCATTCGGCATGGCACTCAGAAACCAAAATTCGACTTCCGGTTTAGCGGGAAAAGCACGCGGGGAATTGTAATTTCTACATGGCCGAAGGCGAAGGCAATTTAAGTCAACAGCGTGCTGTTTCTTTGTTGCAAGAAGCAACAAGATTGATCAGAGAATTTATCCTGGATCATCAAATAATGTTTTTTCAGCACAAGTTGCGAGTCCAAATGTAATTTCTCAATACATCAAATCGAGAAAGAGTGTTGGGGAATTTTAGAAATCTTTTTGCGCCGTATGGGCGTACTGGTCGCCGATGTCTAAGTTCCTCAACACAGTTGTTTCCAATACGTCTACAACACTTATATTTCTTTCTTGTTGACTTAACTTGCCTTCGACTTTGGTCATGGTGGGATTACAATTTCCCGCTGAACCGGAAGTCGAGTTTTGGTTTCTGAGTGCCATGCCGAACCGAAAGTCGAATTTTGGTTTCTGAGTGCCATGCCGAATGACTGTTTCACGCCGAATGAAATTTCAATAATGACTGTTTCACGCCGAATGAATTCGAATAACATAATATCGAATATCATAATAGCATATATATATATGAATATTATATATTGAATATATGAATATATATATATTGAATATATAAATTTTGGCGGATATCACACCTCATAATTAATGACTTCCACTACCGCTGCTATTAAGGGATCATTAACCAATCAGATGCGTTAACACAATCTTCATCTTTTGTTTTCAATAATTGCCTTGTAGTTCAATTCAATAAACTATTGTACTCCTTTCAAGCACTCCAAATTCAGTAATTTTATAATTATACATCACTTAGGGCTCTACTTCATCTTCATCATATGCTGAACAAGTGAGGCAAACCGTTGATTGTGACTACTTTGGGTTGAGAAATGTTTGTAAAAGATTGTTTCCTTTGTTGAGACCTTTTGCCAGGTACAGGGTATATATCAATAATGTTTGTTACCCGTCAGCAGTCTGGGAATAATAACTTGTGCTCAAATATACAGTAGTCCAAACACTTGCTGAAAAATTGATTTCCTAGTGTCCCAACCGGGAATCGAAGTATCGAACCATTTAAGGTCTTTGTTTTGATCTTGGTTCGATTCCGGGTTGGGTTGGGTTTGGGAAATTAATTATTCAACCAGTCATTCCAATCCATTAGGACAATACATTACACACAAGTTACTATTCCAGAGGCGAAGCTGGCCATGGCAACTTGTCATGCTATGTTAATAAACTGCACCAAAATAATTTAAAGGCAATATATTTCTATGAGTTTGAATAACGCAGATATTTAAAAGTTTCCATACCATGACCAGTTGCTATGGTTAGCTTCGCCGCTGCAGTATCAAATTTAATTTGAGGCTCGGTTGACCAACATCGTCTAAAATATCAATTTTATATATACATATGTACTTGTGCCAATGCTAGTATGTACACATATAATTTTTATATTTAAAAAAAAATAATTTGCTTATAGTTCGCTATCGCCAATGATATCATGCCTTAGGACCCTGAAAGCGAAGATTGAATTTACCAGAAATTACAGGAATTCACTCGGCTGACTGACGTAATCTGATATTTGCCTTGTTTTACACTATTTATTTTCTTCCCAGAGTGGTGAACATATCTTCAAGAATGGGAAAATATTCCTGTCTAAATCCTCCTGCTATAGATCGCATTTCTTCTCCTGCTCTGACGGAAGAAGATCTTGATCAGATAATGGATCAGTTTAAAAGGTAAACTTAAATACCATTGTGACGCGCACTTTACTGTCTCAATGACCTTTTGGATAACTATAAGTTTCTTTATAGTGATGTACGAACAGGTGTACAGAAACAGGAAGGTTGGCCACCAGATTCGTTATTAAATTCTTGGCAAAATTCAGGTATGTTTTGTTTTTTGTACAGACCTTTTGAAGGTGCATGAATTTATATTCCCATGAGTCCTGGTCTGGAACCACAACACTAACTTGCTCATTTTTTTTATCTGTTTGTGCCAATGTATAGGTAATGTTTTCAGGTAGTTGCATCCCTACCAACGAAAGCTTGTCATTTTTGTTTTCCCTTTTAGCTTACTGTGTTACCAAACTTGCGGTTACAATTTTAACGAGATTACAAGCAAACTATTTCATAGAATGTGGCAGGTCATCAGATCAAATACTTGTGAATGCGGTGAGTTTGTTATACTGTTATAGTTGCTTATACTAACTCGGCCCCAGTCGTTTATGTGAATTTTTGGGGGGGGAGGAGTATCGACGATCGATGAGTTGATTGCAGGCGCGTGGCCCAACGACTGATCTATATATGCCATGCACTGATATGTGCCAAAAATACGATCCTGCGGAGGAGTTGCTTATATATATACGTGCGCGAGATATGAGGATGTTATCAAAACATTCTACGCATACAAATTTAGTGATTTCCTCCTTAAATTGATTCTCATATATGTTTGCTTATGACTTTTTAACTGCCCTTTTTTCTTTCTAATATATTGTGCTGTGCATGACCCTAGTCGTACATGAGATCGTACATAAATACGAGCCCAGGGCGCTTATAAACTATATAAGCTAATAAGCGCACTGTACGAGCAGCCTAAGAATAAATGCGCATTTCCTATATAGGTAGGGTATAATATATACCACTGAAATACGGTTTACTTATAGTGACCAATGACATCGTTGTTAAATTCGGAATATAATTCATGTTTTAGTGTTGTCCAGGATGGTTACAAACACGTCTTGGAGGACCACATGCTCCTTTGTCTGCCGAGGAAGGTATATGCGCAGCAAACGAGGTTTCAGGGGCCAAGCAGCCAGGGTGTGATAATTGAAGATTTTTAGTAGACGAGTTGTGTGCTTGATTTACACAGTACAACTCAAGTTGTAAGCTGGCCGTTGTATACTGTAATTGTAAGCAGGATGCATACGACAGTTTTAGGCAAAGTTGTGTACTTGTGTAAATCGTTCTTAAGCAAACTTGGATATTGACAAACGTCAACCGGGATTCGTAAAAAGTAGGAACAGTGTCTCATTTTCCAGTATAGTACCATTCAACCATGCACATGATGGTCTTAATGAGTGATTCTCTTTCATCTAGCTCATGATCCGCGATTGCCTGCACATTGCACATTTACATCCATAACCATCACCTTGTCACGTCTTTGGCTGCTATAGACATGCACAGATGCACTTACCGAATTTGCTGTCTGCCAATAAAAGCTACTTATTTAACATCTCGCTTTCAAGCTATTGTTAGACCTTATGCAAAATGACGTCACAAAGCTTAATGCCCACGAGGAATTCTGGTCGTAGTAGTCATCGCCCGGCAAAATTTCGATAGTATCCATTTTGAATTGTTTGATTTTCCTGGGCGATAACTACTTTCAGAACAGCATTCCTCGCAGACATCAAGCCTTGTGACGTCATTATGCGTAAGGACTACTGACACTCTAGCTAATTCGGGAAATGTCTATTATATGATGCTGCATGGTTTTCACATGAAAATATCAAGAAATTATTTGCAAAATATATATCTTCTCTCCCCATAAGATGTTTGAAACAACATTGACAAAAATTCTTCATCTCGATTTAGGTGCGGAAACTCCAGTCTATCTTGCACTGTTACCTCCACAAACTAAATCACCCAATGGAAAATTGCTGTTTGAAAAAAAAATTGTACCATTTGTTAAAGGTAATTGTCGAGAAGAAATGCCTCCTGACTAAAATTCATTATAAGTTAAGGCCGTTTTCCACTTCAATCGTAATGTACCGATTATTGAATGTTGATTGGTTAATACTTCCGTAGTACACTAAAAAGTTGACTTGCGACGAACTTTTCATTTTGATACGCGAATCAACCGAAAGTTCCTAAATTTGAAAACCCATCTTCAAACTGCGTATGCTCACCGGTACGTTACGGTACGATGTGGGCGAAGTGAAAAACGTCTTAAGTCTTTAAGTCTTACCAATATGGCTTTTTCGAATCATATAGTTTGGAACTTTGGATGACGTTCTAGTCCAGTCAAATCACTATAAGTACATGGTCCTGATCAAAGTAATCGCAATAGATTTGATTTCAGTGGTAAAGTGTGTGAAAAGTTGTTCTGATTAACATACTAAAAATAAAAAAAAATCCCTTCGGTGGAACATGATGAAAATCGAGTTTTTCTTACTTCTACCTATAGAAAACCATTGTGGACAGAATATTGAAATGTTGAAATCATTTTTAGGCAAATGTAACCTACATTATTGGAAAGCTTAGAAAAAACTAAAATATAAATCATTAAACGGTTATCTTGCTTTTGCCTATCCAGCCGAAGTTATACAAGATTTAAAATGCCAACTTTGAGCTAGAATAACGACAAACTGACCAGTAAATTGAATATAACCGTTTTACCACAATTTAGCGGCAATAACTCTCTGAAATATTCCTAGTACGAATGTGTCTCCACCATTCGTTAATGCTGGATAGGCTGCTTGTAATGAAACTAGTAAATATGATAACCATTTAACAATCGTGAAATTAACTATAAGCGTTCAAAATTTATTGTTGTTTCCGGTAGCTAACTTTTCCGATGTTGGCCTCGTTTCTTTGATTGTACGGTTGCATATTATAATGGCAGGCCTATATTTCTGACGAGCAATTCTCGTCTAATGATAAAAGTAACTCGCAAAAGTTACACGTATATGTTCTTACTTAATATTTAAGACTTTAAGTGATGGAGAACGGTTGGTTTGGGTTATCGCTAGTTTTCATTCTAGTAGATTTTCAAAGTTTTTTTCAAGAACAATTCGGATTTATCCCCGTTGTCTATGGCTACATACACAATGCACTGTTTCAGACTGGCGAAATATAAATCTCATTTGACACTGACAGAAGGATTACCTTAGCTTAGTTAACGACCGCTTTGGGAATTAACAACAATATTGTTCACGTCACATGTGATTAATCTTCAACAATTACTCTAAATATGATTGGTTAGTTTGCTGCTCGCTTTGTCTACGGCTAGCCTCAGTTATGTCTCCTTATTCGTAGGTCATGTATTGCAGGACACAAAAGCGAATTTAGATGCAAATTGGTTTATAAAGGTTTTAGGTGTAAAATGTTTGTTTTCTCGTAGACAGCTCTCTTAATCCTTGTACTAACACCGATTTGGTTATTTTGATTTCTTTGTGACTTAAATGTTCACCCTGGAAATGGATGAAGCTCCATGTGTAAAGTTATCTGGCGTTCATGGTCATCCAGGAAGAAATAATGATGTCATTTTCTGTGGTTCTGAAGCACAACAACACGTAGTGTTCTTCCACGGTGATGTTCAGGTCAGTCCATGTCATTCAGATTAGTTCGGACATCCAAATGACAGTTACTTTAAGCTATGCTTTAAGGCTCGTGAGTTATCAAAATCTAAGAAGTTCTCGAAATGAATCCTGACATGCATAAAGAATTCATTTGAAAATACGTTTTGTATGAAATGTCTATATCTGCTATACTTACAATCTGTCATCTGAGGATGAATATAATTTAGCTTTATGGTCAACAGATTCAACAACTTACTTGATGCAGTCCTGCAAGCACTATGTTTATGTATTTCATAGAACACTACCGAGCCTTTCCTTCCAAGAGCTGAATATCCTAATAATCACACTAATACTGACGCAAGGTCTTTGCTTGGAACGCTGGAGAATTTGTATTTAAAATACAGCGGAATATAATATACTTACTCGTCAGTATAGCTAGCGGGCGGCGAACATATCTTTACTGCTGCAACTTAGAATTCTCTCTGAACCGTCACCTGCATGGGGACTCACCGGAGACGTTTTCTTATAGGCGTCTAAAATTTTATTATAGACAATATTATGCCTGTCTTTCCCTCCCCTAATGAAAGCAATATTGGCATGTGATATTGGCGTGAATGTTAGCTTGGATTGTTTGAGTCTAAACTAAGTTACAAGAAAACGGTCAAAAGCCTTTTGACGTTTTGAGCGAAGGTCCTTCCACACAAGGTTAGCGACGCAACTAACAACCTGGGGCCGCTTGTTCAAAGAACAATTATAATAGCGCCAAAATTTAATGTTTTGATTTGCGCATTTCTGCAAGTCGGAGATGTTGTAAAAATGACAAAATAGAACTTTTTGATCCAGGCAAGTTCCGAAAAAGATTTCTAAGTTTTTTTAACAATCTGGTGGGAAATTTGCTGTAAAGTTTTACTCTAACCTAGGATTAAGCTAACCGCCTTCACGAAAAGCATCGAAATGTTTTTAATCTTTTTTAGTAGTGCAGACTAACTACGTCTACGGCCGTTTATAGCCCTACCTTCGGCTCAACTGACGAGCTCAATGTGTTTGGTACTGTACCGGGAGGCAACGCGCTTAGCTCTTGAGCAATACATGCTTTTAAATTAAAAGTAACCTTTATATATCTTATCATATTTTCTAGGACTACGTGGAAAATATGGTTGCTCACAGTAGTAACAAAGCCTGGATGCAATGGGATCTCGAATCAACTTCAAAGTTGCTCTCCAAACGATTTCCCAGTAGTTTTATTTGGGTGGTAAAATCATCACGACTCCATTTAGGCACGTATGCTTGTTATAATAATTTCGTTGAAACAAGTGCCTTAGGTGTGCCTGACCATAACGCAAATATTGGTGCTATTCCTCACCTTCGTTGGTTACTGGACTCTGCCGTCAGAAAAGGTAGGTTGTAATTTTGTCTCATAAATATGTCGCGTATTGTGTTCTGATTGGTCGCCTAGCCGCTGCCATGCATGCTTTCCACCTCCTGTTCTCGCGAATTTTGCTATATTCACTTCCAGTGGCGTTGCCAGCCCGACGATTCAGTCTCGCTATGCAAATATTGCCATGTTTATAAACTATCAACACAATCAATTTCTAAAGAAATGAATAATGATATACCAAATTGTCGGACTGTCGAAATTTGATGTCCACTGCTCGGAAATTGATGTCCACCTCTCAAAATTTGATGTTCACCTCTCAAAACGTTATTAACCATTAAACGTTAACCTCGCTTCGCTCGGTAGACATCAATGCCATTGGATCCGTAATACGATCCGTAATCTTCTGACAGATTTCCGTCTGATATGAACATGGGACGACAACTGATCAACTTGAAAAATTCGGAAACTCTCGATCCCAGTCTATTTTTAACATTACCAGTTAAAACCCGCCTTTATTTATTCATCTGGGGCCAGTTGTTCAAAGCTGGATTAGGGCTAACCCTGGGTTAAAGTTTAACCTGCTGTTTGGGGTTTGTATACTTCTGCAAGTCTATTTATTTCAAAACTTTGGACAATAAAACTTCTGTTGATCCAGACAAGATTTCTAGAAAAACACTTCCATGTTTAAAAACAAGCTGTTGGAATGATTATTATAAAATAACATGTATATAACGCGTGCTCTGATTGGTCGAAACCTGTGTTTGGATCAGGCCATCCCATTGGGCCATCCAAACACGGAAATTTAAAGTGAAAATTTTTACAGTGAAAATTTTTTGAAGTTTTAACACGGAAAGTTGTTATTTTATAAAACAATTACTTTATGGTTTCCGTGTTTGGATGGCCTGTTCCAAACACTTGGGAATGTTGCTCGAGGAAAAGCGCGCAAAATCACTCGTGATTTCGCGCGCTTTTCTCAACTCTCGCAACATTCCCGCGTGTTTGGATCAGGCCATCCAAACACGGAAACCGTAAAGTAATTGTATAACCTAAGTTCAAAAACTCATTAATAATTCATGAAAAATCATAAGGAATTCAAGAAAAATTATAAGCGTGTCGTATCTTTATAATTATGTGATAGAGATTTCCCTTGATTTACATCAACTTTAACTTTGATTTTCTCGACTTACACAACGTATTTTTTGAAAATTACTTCGCCAATGAACTCACTAGATCGATCGTTTTTGAAGCAATTTAAAACATTTGCAGTGTGTGTTTTATCAAACCTAAACATACTCGGCTTCGCCTCGTATCTTTATATCTGATAAAACACTGCTGCTCATGTTTTAAATAGTACAAAGCTAACCGACCTTTGAACGACCGGCCGCTGACATAAAGTTAGGGCAAGTGTCGTGTCAGAGACGAGAAACACGGCTAATGGTCATCAATTTTTGTCCAATCAATGTAAATACAGATTTTTAACATTTATCAAGTTTTCAATTGTGCACAAACAGATGTCGAACGACAACTAGTGATAAAAACCGTGCTCGTCTTTACAATTCAATCGATTAACACACACAAAAAAGTCATTTCACATGCATTACCATGTTGGTTTATCAGTGTTCTTTGCAGGAGTTGATTATGAGGTATTCTTCAAATATTGGTGGTCAGTAAATACTTGCTCCAGTGAGAACAGGTATATCAGAACTTGCAAAGACGATCACAAATTTCACTTTCGATATCCATTACAAGTCCGCGCAGACACTAATGCAGGTGAAGACCTAGCCTCAGTTCCACACAGGTGCTCAGGACAGGCTTCTTGTCATCCCGAAGAACGGTTCACAGACGAATCTTACTTTCGATGTCCACACACCTAAGACCACGGCAAAGCCTGGGAACGAGGTTGGGAACATGGTCATGCACTATGTGTTTTCAACCGTTCAGGGAACCATCATTCCAGACTTTGAAATCTGATGTATTTCCTCTCCAACTAGTTGTTTCTCTGCTTACAATTAATATCAAGTTGGTTTCTCTTCGTTTGACAGCCATGAAAAACATGTCTCTTTTGTCAGAAGAGTTTTCTTTAAACACTGATGACAAAACTGACCACGTTTGTGGCTAACATTGGCTAACATTAAAACAGAAATTATATATTCAGCAATAGAGATTTTGAATCAAATTTAGAATGGCAACAGTTGTAATCTGTTTGTCAACGGGTTTGGCCTCACTGCGAATCAGGTACAGTATCGAGGACGTTTGAGATGTGTCTGATATTATTTCTTCATTCCTGCGGGTATTTCTATTTTGAATTGCTTTGCGGTTTCTGAGCGATAATTTCTATATTTTCCCCAAAATTATTAAAAATCACGTAGCCACGCTTCAAACTGCGACACTATAGAAGCCAGAAATGCTTTTTTTGTTAATTCATGAATGTGAGTTTTTCAACAGTAAGATGATCCCAATTATCAGTTTCAAATTCGTACCCACCAATGGTATCAGTACGCAGGTAATGAGTTTGTCGCATGGCAACAGCTCAAAACTAACTGTCGGACAAGAAGTTTGGAAAGTACGCTGCAAAGTTGTTGCGCTTTGTTTCATGAAGTTTTATTAGAATTTATTAAAATTCATACTCCTGTTATGTCCATGATCCAACAGTTTACGAAGTACTAGGAATTGAAGACTTTCTTTGTCATCATAGATTTAATTGAACTTTGAACTTTGGGCAATTGTCCCATGAGTATACAAAATTTGCAGAAATGTTTACCACGAATTGACCATTTGCGTAATAGACTAAATTTTGATCTAAACAAGTCTAGACAAAATTAGTAATATTCCAAAGTTTCGTTGCGAAATGTTGTAAAATGCGGAAAATATAGCCTTGCGAAGTTTGCAGTTTTCAGTCATTTGGAACCAAATTCACGGCGAAAACTTGGAATCGCGGTTCTACTGACAGTCTAAGAATAATAGTTGAAAAAATTCTCCTAACGGAAAATTTACTCGATTTTATTGGTGGTTTTTATGCCATGCAATCTCTAATATTTAGTTTAAAGATGGATATATAGTGTTTCTTCGTAAAGCAAAGATTACCTATTGCAATGATATATAGTTTATCAAAAACGCATTTCTTGTACGGATGTGATTATGTTGCCCGTTTAGTTTTTTGTTGTCTTATTTTACTTCACCTGCGCTAAAATATTCGTTTGTTTTAGTTCTAAATTTAGAAAAGCACGAGGAGGATGTAACTGAAGATTTTCCAATAATCTTGGTTGGTTTCAGTCATGGTTGTGTTGTACTTAACCAGATTGTTCATGAGATACACGACATCATAAAGTCAGAGAAAACTGGTTTACTAAAATTTATTTATCGCATCAACGCTATTCATTGGCTGGACTCTGGTCACTGTGGCCAATCAAATGCTTGGGTGACAGACGAACGATTATTAGGGTCCCTAGCTGAGACAATTCCTCGTATACGTGTCCACCTCACACCTTATCAAATTCGTGACAAATCTCGCGGGTGGATTGGGGAGGAACAAGCTCGGTTTACAAAGATTTTAAAGTCACGTGGTGCAGATATTAAATCTCAAATTTATTTTGAAGACCAGGGACCATCGCTGTGTAATCATTTTAAATTACTCGAGACATTCGACCCAGCAATGTCAGCTAATGAATGACATAACATTGGACCGTTAGTATTGGTGAATAGACCTTTCTCATAATGACGTCAAACGCGGATAATGCGATATTACAAGGGACAATTTTTAGCGACAATTCGCAATGCAAATGATGTTAGATGAAACTTGATTTGCTTGGCAAAGATGTGTCACATCGTTTTTACAGGAAAAGCGGGAGCATTCTGAACAGTTCACTGGTGAATATAGTCATATAATTCATATTCTGAACAATTCACTGGTGGATAAAGGCATATAAATATTCGCTTTGTATCTAATTGTGGGTCAACCTCGCAAGCCAGGCATTTTACCTCCGCAATTCGTGGTGGAGGGAGCGAAGGTAGAGAGCCTGGCTTTCCAGGTTGATTTAAAGGTTCACTATCTTTTCTTGTATATAATTTATATATTAATGACTGTTTTCCAACACTAACATAGACCATTTGCAGAGTTACTGAAGCATACTATTATACACAATGATGCTGTATAGAGGTTTTTTTAGCTTAAAAGCTTTGACTTCCGCTACCAATCAGATGCGTTTAATCTACCCGATTGACCAATCAGATTCGCACTGAGCCAAGAGAGAGGTAGCGGTAGCTGGTGAAAGTTAAATCTTAACCTTTCCTAAGGCCAAGTTCAAACGTCGAACTTTTCATGTGGCGAACCTGACGCAAATGAGCTCAAACAATGAGCGACACTAATAGCAGTAATATAAGCCTAAGTCAATTAAAACAATGAGTGACTGGGTGGCATGGAGAACAGTGAAATTTACACAACAATGAAAACACAATGAAAAATTTTGGTCACTGAATCGTAGGCATAATGAATAAGATTTGATCATGGAAATAACATTTTAGAATGACGTCGAGGCTTTGAGCGTATATATATTAAATGGTAATTTAAAAAATGTCTTACTAATATAGACCTAGCATCTGTATCCGTACCACGAATCTCTGTTTGGCTGGTCTTGATCAGTCTGGATTATAATTGCGTTAATTAAGTCATAGTTCAGAAATTCGTAGATAAACTCTATTGCATAGTTCAGTGGGGTCGACTCGTGCCCAGTCTTTTGCGCAATCTATATATGTTTGATGATGAACGCTCACCTGGTTCCACGTTTCATCTCAACTGTCCCTATTGGACGATTACGTCATTATACGGAAATACAACGACCTCGATCACCGTGACCGTGCACAAATTAACATAAACTCAGACAAAAACATAACACAATTACTTCTGTTAAGTTTCCAGACCATCGTCTTGATGAGACTGTTGTTTGGGTCATGTTGCATGGTGCGCACCACTGAGGTCGTTTTCCACTTCTTCTGAAAATTCATGTGCGTGCATCTCCTCTGGAGAAAGGTCTGATGAGTACATAATATCAACCCAAACCGAATTGGAAAAGATCAGTCTTCAGAAAGCAATTGGCCCCGACGGCATTCCGAACTAGGTATTGAAATCAGCTGCACCGCTGCTTGCTGGTCCAATATGTTCCATCTTCAATGCCAGCATTGCACAAGGTCGCATCCCGACACTCTGGAAATCAGCAGACGTTATATCCCAAATCAGTTGATAGCGACCTAAGATCTATTTCACCGGTGCTGAGTAAATTATTGGAAAGCTTCGTTTTTCGGTGGCTTTTTAATTATATCAAACCATCAATAGATCCGCTCCAGTTTGGAAATATAAAAAATTGCTCGTTTCAGGATCGTCCCCCAATTCATCGCTTCAAGCTAATATAAAAACTATAAATGACTGGACCAATCACAACAACATGCGGCTTAATCGATGCCCTCTTTTCGTCTGGTTTAAACATAGAAATCGTCCAGACCTTCAAACTTCTGGGAGTGATAGCACCAAAGCAAGTAAACGTCTTTACGCTCTAAGGATCCTCAAACGATCTGGTGCCCCAGCCAATGATTTAATAACGGTCTTTTGTGCATTTATTCGTCCAGTTTTGGAATACGCCTCACCTGTATGGCATTTTTCTCTCCCTCAATTCCTCGCTGACCAAATCGAGAGTATACAAAAACGTGTATTGAAAATCGCTTTCCCCCAGTCCTCTTACACTTTACCAGCGAAGAGAGAATCGGTGCTTGTCATTTTATAAGAACATCCATCAACACTCAGACGACAAGTTGAGAACGCTACTTCCCAGTGCTATATCTCACAAATTCAGTCTAAGAAACAAACGCAATTATCCTATGTACAAGTGCAAAACTGAACGATATAAGAACAGTCAATCATAGTGGTAGATCGTAGTCACAATTTGATAACTTTAATTTTGTTATTACATCTCTATGTGTTGCTCAAGATCTACACTTTGCAATCAAGTTGTATAAAATTGAAAGAGTGATAATCGTCTTTGTGTCAATATTAATACATTTTAGTGCAATGTTGGGAAAGTAACCGTTCCAGTATTGTAACGAGGGGCGAAATTGGCACGGGGTCATAACAGTCATATCATAATTCATTAACATTTAATACATGCATACATTACAAATAGTCCACATCGTTTACGGAATACGTCCGAAACGCCAACACCCCGGG